GGGGATGGGAGAAATGGAGGAACTTTGATTGGGCAAAGGGGAGTGTGGAGTGGGGAGGGGATAGTCAAAATGCACTCTACTGTCATATATACCTAATTTTAAACTTAATTAATTAATGAAAAACTTTAAAACACTAACTTGGCATCCAGTTTCCCCAGGCCTGCAGCATGACTTCAGGTTGCTCAAGCCTGACCTCCTCCATCTGAGACCTTCCCAAGGATTTTCTCTGTAGGGTTTGCCGGAGTGCTCTCAGAAGACTGGAGGGTTGAAACCTGGAAGAGAAAACCCTAATCACAGCTGGGCCCAGCTCCACTTAATTTCCTCCACCTCCTCATCCTACTCTGCAGTTTTCTCCATCAGGATGCTTCATTCTTTGGTCCACATCTTCATGCACCTATACTGAGGATGGGCCAGCCTGGGGCCTCCCATGTGGCCATACCATGTGGAAATGATATTCTACCATCTGGTGAGAAGACTCCCAAATCTCCAGAGACCTAAGCTGAGCCCAGCTCTGTTCTTGGCTACACCAGTGACTTGGTATCTGACCATGAACATCTAATCTCTGGATCGAATCTCCGGATCTTCCTGAGTCCCCCAATTTGCAAGTGTCTCAGTGGCTGTCTCAGATCTTGGCACCAATCCTATCTCGAACTTTGAGCAAGAGACTTCCATGTTGCGGCCTCAACCTCATCACCTATAGAATGAGGAACTCAGCTAGATGACCTCAAAGCACAATATCCTGTAAGTCTGTGAACGGATTCATCACACATGCTGGGATGTCCTGGAGGTTAGAGACCATCATTGCTAGATGATGGTGACGGACTAAGCTGTCCCTCAGGGAGCTTGGATGGATGGCTTCATCATCATCAGCAGCACGACATGGCTAAATGGGGGTAAATGGGGAACCAGACTAGGAGTGGGGACAGGAAGATTCCAAGAGGAACCATGGATTGGGCTTCATCGTTCCTCTTCTTCCTGAGCTGTTGGGGGCCTGCCCTCTGCTGAGACAGGCCCAAGTCAAGAGGGACCAAGGACAGGGTGTGATCTTATTCCTCAGTCCTGCTTCTCCTCTCCCTTTCCTCCCATGCTTTATTTTGTCCAGGATCAGTCTGTGACCATGGCTGCCCACTCCTCTTGCCCTTTACCCCAAATGTTCACACCTTACAACCTGGCCTCATCAACATTTTTATCAACTTCTATCACCAGACATGCCTGAGGGACAAGCAGGAGATGCTGACTTAAAGAGCAGGACTGAGTGCTAAAACTAGAGGAACTGTCCCTAGACAGAAGACAACATGGCTCCCAGCCCACCTGTGCTGAGCAGATCCCTCTGTGACTATATTTAATCCAATGAGGGAAGGAGAAAAATTGCCTCTTTTCCAGAGAGCAGACAAGAAATGGTCCCATCATCCTGTACTCACTTCTGTTAGAGCACTTCTCATCTGGACTTGTAACTGTTTGTGCATCCCCTTCCCCTACTTGACCTCATGTCAGGAACTGTCTTATTCCCAGTATTCCCCACACTTGGCATGGAGTCTCAATAGATGTGAACAGGCCTGGAAGTGGAAGAAGTCAAGGCTGGCTTGATGGCCAACCTGGTGGTTGGAAACTGTGACTGAGAATATCCAAGAGCCACTGCGGTCTGTTCCATCTCTGGTGTGGCTGTGTAAATAATTCCCTGTGCATTTCTTTTTGTTTACCACTGCTT